AAATAACTAAAATATATAATTAAAATATTTTGTAAACTATTTTTTAATAAATATTTATGAATATTTATAAATATTGGTAAATATTAAAAAAAAATATGTAGATATATATTCAATAAATATGGAATAGATATTTACCCTATAGAATTGTGAATTAGAGGGAGTGTGTGGTTGATATCTCACTCATCGACGTCTCTCCTGAAACCTTTTTGACATCCCTACCCAAACCTTTTGTTTGAGAATAGAAGTGAGTTTAGGCAAAATATTTAAAAGATTATATTTCGTTTGATAATTTTTTGAATTGAGAGTTTCCGTGTAGAAGTTATCTTAAAAACGAACATGGCAAAAAGCTGCTAGATACGGAGTTAGCAATATAGATTGTCTGTTACTATCTGATTAGCGTGTTTGCACTATGAAGATTGAGAAATACGATTTGATTGATGTTGAATTTATCTGGTCTCACTATCATATATATATATATATATATATATATATATTTTTGATAAAAAGAGACGAAACTAGAGAAGCAAAGTATAAAAGATTATGCCCAAAAGACGCATCAATCGACACAAGAGGTTAAGTACGTGGCGGAATTTGAAGTGCCGCAAAGTTTTGGAGAGATAGGGGCTATTCTGGTGGAGAATGAGCATCACAAGGAAATGTTCATCAAGGACATTGTTCTGGATGGCTTCCTCTTGGGTCCAGTTACTTTTTCATGCGACTCGTGGGTTCACTCCAAGTTTGATAACCCTGTTAAGAGGGTGTTTTTCTCCAACAAGGTAGGAATAGTTTTTAGGGTTTTTAATTAAGTTTGATAATAGGATTGATGATTAATTATTGTACGTGTTGATGAAACAGTCATATTTGCCATCAGAAACACCAGAAGGAGTGAAGAGGCTAAGAGAAGAGGAACTGGAACATTTAAGGGGGAACGGGCAAGGTGAACGGAAGGTTCATGAGCGAATATACGATTACGATGTGTACAACGATCTTGGAGATCCAGATAGCAGCGAGGAACTCAAAAGACCCGTTCTCGGTGGCTCCCAACATCCTTATCCAAGGCGTTGCAGAACGGGAAGGGATCGCTCCCACAAAGGTACATCTCATACTTTAACCTCTACTATCACTATGTCTATCATCATACTTTAACCACGAATTCATACTTTATGGTACATGTCAATGTCATTAATCTTTACCTGGTCCACAACTGCGTCACCTACATTAATGTCACAAAAGGAACTCATCAATCATCATGCTACATAACTCATGTCTTCATTCACCTAAGATGGAGAGGAGACAAATTATGAAATCCCCTAAAAAATAAAACAAAATAAAATAAAAAGAGGCCACGAATATGAATTACTTATATTTTTTCAATTATGTTTCGCACCAAACTTAGTTACATGATTTAACTTGTTTGGGTACCTTTTTATTTTGTAAATCAAGTGGATCCTCCGGTCAAGTTTAATGTGATATTTTTATTGATAAAAATATTAATTGGTAGAATTTATGTAATAATGTTAGTAAATTTTTTAATAAAATTTAAATATAAGATTTAAAATGTTTTTTTAAAATTCTAGAATTTAAAAAGATTAATTTTAAATTAAAAAATATTTTAAATTTAAATGATTAAAAATATATTCATATCCATTTCTAAATAATTTGCTGTACTTTTTTGTTTTTTTTTTTCTCAAAAAATATTCAACTACATTATTTTAGTTGTGCTGACAAAAAGATAACACAATCGCAGCCCCAGCTGCTTCATGACATGACTAGTCCCGTCTGTATACCTACATCACTGCATGCATTCATGCATTTGTTTTTTCAACTGTACAAAATCTACAAGAATGGACCATGATATGGTTTTATATTTCTCAATTAAAAATAAGTTTATGAAATAATCAGAATTTTTAATTAAATCTCTAAATTATAAAAAAGTTTATGACGTTTCAAACCGCTATAGTTATAAAAATTTATAAAACATCAAGGTCCTAATTGTATTTTTTAATTAAAAGATGTAATTAAAAATTAATAAAAAAAATGAAAAACCTGTATATGTATTAAATTTGAAATGTAATCAATATAGAAGATAAAATAATACCAAGCACGTGTTAATTAATTAAGCATGTGTTAAATATTAACTGCAGCACCCGTACACGAATTCTGATCTGAGTGTCACTCAGTGATGCCATCTTTTCCAAGAATTGCAACCGAAATACAGTAAAATTTTTATTAGATTTAAATCATTAACGGATGAGCATTGCTACGTTACCCGAAACGAAAGTCAAAATTTCGTCTGAATCATTAAAATATTATTATTTTATAATAAATTTATTAAATAATAATAATATTTTAATGATTCGGACGAAATTTCGACTTTCGACAGCATTTTTCTTAACGGATACGTTGGGTGGGTCGAAAATATAGCATGGATGTATCATTTTCCTTCTGATCTGTATAGAGAAAGCACGAAATAGTGCAAAAGAAAACAAAAGAAGAGTACTGTATAAAATAAAATAAAGTAAAAATTAAGAAAAAAATATTTTAAGATAACTGTACTGTGTAGTTGAATTTTCAACCTCACGAATCCCAATTATTAAAATGAATAATAAGTTAAAAAAATGTCCGGCACCAATTTTAATAGTATTGTGTTTGATAAAGATGGAATAAATAAAAACAAAAGTAGATAAAAAGATATTAAAGTGTGAAGAAATGTAAAACCAAAAATAAATAAAATAAAATAAAATTTATTTAATAAATACAGAAATAGAGGAAAAATAAAATAAAATCTAAACATAAAAATAAATTTATTTTTGTTTTTATTATTTTATTTATTTATTATCTTTATATATATATATATATATATATATATATATCTTAGTAGTGGATAATAATTAATCACTTAAAATCATAAGTCTACTAATATTTGAAGATATATTCTATATTATATATATAAAAATGAAATAACTATATAAATATATTCAATATAAATACAAAAATTTAATAAAAGTAAATTGCAATTTAAGTTATATATCGTTCAAACAATTTTTATTATCTGTAAAATGATTATCGAAGTAGTCTCAAAAGAACTCCAATACCACAAGTCACCTGAACTTGTATCATTGTTATGATCTCATGCTATATAGCAATTCAAATCATATAAAAACGAATGCAACTGGAGGCATGGTGAGCAGTGGAGTATAGGGTGAGATGAATTTTATATATAAATCGTGACGGGGTTATATTATGAAATTTGTATAAAGAGATATTTTATAAGAGTTATTTTACACGTAATTTTATAATGATGAAATATTGTCTATTTTGGACTTAAGATTTGTTTGAATCTTAATAATCCTCCTCTCAAACAAGGATCGATATTGTCGTTAGAATCTGTTTTTACTTTTAATCATCACTTAAAGATCTCTCAATTATTTGAATAATGAAATATAAAAAGAGATGAATTTTATATATAATAGAATTATTTTATGATATTTATATAAGAAAATATTGATATTTTATAAGAGTTATTTTATACATAACTTTATAATGATGAGATATTGTTCACTTTGAGCTTAAGACTTATTTATATTTCAACAATCTTTCCTTCAAATAAGAAACAAGAATATTGTGGTTGGAATCTATTTTTATTTTTATCATTATCTAAAAGATATCTTAATTATTAGAATATAGTTGTCTTTTATAAGTGGGTATTTTATTTAGTTATTTGTATCCGATGAGTGGGTGATGAGTTAATTATGATTGTTTGAACAGACCCGTTGTCGGAGAAAAGAAGTAGCTCCGTGTATGTGCCTAGAGACGAATGCTTCTCTGAAGTAAAGCAACTTACTTTTCAAACAAAGACCCTATACTCTGCGTTGCATGCACTCATACCCACCATCAGGACAGGGATTGTTGACAAAAATCTTGGCTTCCCTGTCTTCTCCGCCATCGATGATCTTTTCGATGAGGGCCTTAGCTTGCCTCCTCTCAAAGGCAAAGGCATTCTCAATAATCTCTTGCCTAGGCTCGTCAAGTTTGTCAGGGATACTGAAGAGGAAATTCTCCGTTTTAACCCTCCCGCAACCATGGACAGTAAGATATATATTAATTCATCATCTTCTATATTTACTAATTAATCACTATCACTGCTATACCTTCGTTTCCAATGCAGAGGACAGGTTCTTTTGGTTAAGAGACGAGGAATTTGGAAGACAAACTCTTGCGGGTCTAAACCCTTGTTGCATCCAATTGGTCACGGTAATTAAACTATATATAATTCTTTTCGATCTTTTAATTTGTAGCCCACCTTCTCCTTTTTTTCATTTCTTCTAATCGCTCTGATGTAGGAATGGCCATTGAAAAGCAAACTAGACCCCGAGATTTATGGCCCTGCGGAATCAGCCATCACTACCCAAATAATTGAGCAGGAAATTAAAGGATTCCTTACGGTTGAAGAGGTAATCAAAGTGAATAAAACATGTACGTACGTGACACATCACTTGCTTAAAACTTGACGTCTGAAATTGTGCAGGCCATTAAACAGAAGAAACTCTTCATGCTGGACTACCACGATTTGCTGTTGCCATTAGTGAAGGATGTTCGACAACTTGAAGGCACAACACTATACGGATCAAGAACACTCTTCTTCCTAACCCACGAAGGCACGTTAAGACCACTGGCTATTGAGCTTACTCGTCCACCCATGGACGGAAAGCCACAGTGGAAGGAAGTCTTCACACCTTGCTGGCACTCGACCGGCGTCTGGCTTTGGAGGCTCGCCAAACTCCACGTCCTCGCCCACGACGCCGGTTACCACCAACTCGTCAGCCACTGGTATATAACTCCAACTTCCACATCAGCTGTAAATAAGTCCAAGATATAGTATATAAGTTACACTGACACATTCTCATTAGTGAAAATTGAACTCAAAGCGCCACCGCTGATAAATTCAGTTCCTTTTGCAGGCTGAGAACACACTGTGCGACGGAGCCTTACATTCTGGCGACAAACCGCCAACTGAGCGCGATGCACCCGATCTACAGACTACTGCACCCGCACTTCCGTTACACGATGGAGATCAACGCGCTGGCGCGTGAGGCGCTGGTAAACGCGAACGGAATAATAGAGAGCAGTTTCACTCCGGGGAAGTTCTCCATCCTGCTCAGTTCAATCGCCTACGACAAACAGTGGCAATTCAACCTCCAATCCCTCCCCGCAGATCTCATCCACCGAGGCATGGCGGTCAAAGACCAAAATGCCCCTCACGGCCTCAAACTAACCGTCGAAGACTACCCTTACGCCAACGACGGCCTCCTCCTCTGGGACGCCCTCAAAGGATGGTTCACCGATTACATCTACCGCTATTACCCCGACAACGGAGCAATCCAATCCGACACAGAGCTCCAAGCCTGGTGGCAAGAGATCGTCAACGTTGGCCACGCCGACAAGAAAGACGAACCCTGGTGGCCGCAGCTCAAAACAAGACAAGACCTAATCGAAATCCTTACCACCATTGCGTGGACTGCCTCCGGCCACCACGCGGCGGTGAACTTCGGACAGTTCTCCTTCGCCGGGTACTTCCCGAACAGGCCTAGCGTTGCGAGGAACAAGATGCCGGTGGAGGATCCTTCGGATCCTGAGTGGGAGCTGTTTCTTCAGAAGCCGGAGGTGACTATGCTCAAGTGTTTTCCGTCGCAGATTCAGGCCACGACGGTGATGACGGTGCTGGACATTCTGTCGAACCACTCGCCGGACGAGGAGTATCTCGGGGAGACGGTGGAGCCGGCGTGGGAGGAGGACGCTCTTGTGAAGGCGGCGTTTGAGAAGTTTAGAGGCAAGTTGATTGAGCTTGAAGGGTTGATTGATGAGAGGAATGCTGACAAGTCTAGGAGGAACCGGAACGGTGCAGGGATTGTGCCCTATGAGCTTCTTAAGCCCACTTCGGAGCCTGGTGTTACGGCTAAGGGAGTTCCTTATAGTATATCTATTTGAACCTTCAACCTACGTACCTTTTCTATGTCTATGTCTATGTCTATGTTTGTGTCCTCTTCATCGTGATGGATACCATGAATCTGCCATTATTCATCTCTACTTTGCTTCCTTAATTTGTTTCTGCAATACTCATAATTATTAGACACTTTTTTAGTTATACATATTCTATTCACGTCTATTATTTTTCTCAACCTCTACGAAGTATACCAACAAGGTCCGTTATTCAAGTATATCAACAAGAGTTTAATTTTTGAGTTAATCTGCAGGAAGAAAATTTGATTGAAAAAATAAAAAGACTAATTCAGATCTATATATTACTAGTGAATGCATTATGAAAATGTTTTTCTTAAATTATATTGAATACGCTATTACTGATTTATCATAAATGAAACCTTATCTTTTATATTAATTACAAAACCTGATTTAAATAATTATATTTGTACTGTGCTGGTTGAAAAGCCTAAATATTAAGATAAAATAATGAAGTGAGGAATTATAAAAAATAAATTTCAGATTAAATTATTTTAATTTATACCAGTAGATGAAGAGACATTTTGTGTCTTAATGTATTTATTTTTGAATGAATTTGGAAAAAAGGTGATTGTTAAACATAGAGATAATAGTATCTAATATAAAAATGAAAACTAAAAGAGTGATTACCAAAATTTATCCATTTTATAATAAGTATAGATAATCATAATCATATTTAATATTTTTGATAATATTTATCTACTTATATTTATTAAAATGTTATTATAAATTAAGCTAATATAGGCTATTGTAGCATTCTTTTTAAAAAATGTTGTTATAGGTAGAATAACATTTTTATCTCAATATTATTTTTTATAATTGCCTTTCAAAATTAAGTCTAACATCTAGTAAAAAATATATTTATCTTATTTCTAATTATTTTTCAATATTGAATTCTCATATCGAGTAAAAAAATGACACATATATAATTATAGAGTAAAATTTAAGAAAAATAAATTTTGATATATAATCTGAGTGGGTGTGGTGATTATGGCTGTAGAGTGAGCGCTTCTTGAAAAGTTTGTAGTTGCAGTTGTTGTTGCTGATAAAGTTCTGAGTGTTGATGTCTTGGGCTCTTGGCTAAAGCCAACGTATGGAAGTTGTTAATTTTGAAGCCGTTGGAAAAAGATTAGATGATCATATGGTTAACAAAATTTTCATTTGAGAATTTGCATGTATTTTATATGTGAACAAATTTTTTTTGTTGTTGTTTGAGCGATATTTTTAATCATACTTTGTCAAACATGTACTCGCATATATTGATTTATTGTTTATGATATAGTTTTGACATGTTGAAGGCTTGTAGTGGCATAAAGTATGTAGTTATGATTGTGAATGTGTAAGGAACACGATAGTTTAGTAAAGGTGGGTGAGCCTAGAAGCTCAAAGTCTCCATAGAGTCATAGGTGAACTTAGAGGTTTGCGAATGTAGAGGTGCGAGAGCTCAAAAGTTTTGAATCTCAAAAGTTTGTGTTGATTTGTTAAGGTACAAGAACTCATTTGCTTGGAATCATAATACAAACTTGAAAATTCGTATTTATTTGTTAAGGCATGAGAGTTTGTTTGTTCAAAAATTACATAAAAACTTGGAAGTTCGTATTTATTTGTTAATGCACAAAAACTTATTTGTTCAAAAATTGCGTATTAACTTAAAAGTCCGTATTTATTTATTAAGGCATAAGAGTTAAGAAATTTTGAGTGTAAGATTATTGAGATGGGAGAACTCAGATTTGTGTGTGTGCGAGGTTAAGAGAGGGACTAGGTTAGAGATACTTTGTATTTCTATATATAAGTGGTTTTTAGTTTTGTACGATGTTAGAGGATAATATTGGACGGTATTTGTGAATATGTCCGGTGATTGAGCGTGGTGTTTAATGGAGGGGATATTACCTTTGATGCGTTGCTCTTTAATATATTTCATGATTCTCAGAAGTATGGTATGGGGATTATTCCTTGATTGATTGATGCCTAAGAGATATCCTGGATCCAACATGGCAAGCTTAATTCCATAGGATCAAATTCATGGCCAGCTCGGCTCGATTTATTTGAATTGGATAGTACAATAACATTTACTCATCATTTAAAAATATTTTCTAATATTATTAAAAATACATTTTGTTATAGTGAATATTAAAATAAGAGAGAAAACATGTTTTCTCTTACAAGATCACTTACCAACATGACCATTTTAACAACTTTAATTTTTTAGAACATGTTTTTATATTTTATTTCTTTTTCTTAAGAATATATCATTTGATAATTATTTTTTCTTCTTCTCATTATTATTAAATTAAATAAAAGAAAATTCATACTTTTCTTCAGTTATTAAGTAAAAACCATCTTATTTTTTGTTTTCTTTGTTTTCTTTTGTTAGTATTTTTTCTTTCCATCCTCATCCTCAACATGGTACCACGTGTGTGCGATGTAAAAATTAGGGGACTTCACCTATTTGAATAATTTGATAATTTGAACAAAATTGTACTATTCGTACCGCTATGTCGAGCTCGACCTCGGCATCACAGCGCGGAGTGACCTCGGACATGCGCTAGGCGACATCGACTTGCTATCCAATTAGGTCATAAACTGATGTCGGGTCCAAGGCCCAACAAAACCCTAATCCACACAAAGGTACGTGCATTACTTATACGAGATTCATACTCCCACAAAAACTAACTTTGGCATCGGAGTCTCTTTTGCAGATATCACTCCCATCTTGGAGCATCAACGTACCCGTGAAGGAGGCTCACCGATCTTACCAGTAGATCATTCCCACCTTGGATTCCCGGTAAGAACAAAAAATAATTAAACTAGTTCAAAATTTTTCTCTTTCTAAATTAAAGAAATCTGACCTCAATATTTTTAAAAATAATATAATAAATAAAGTAGATAACCATTGTCAATTTCAAAAAAAAAAAAAAGACAATACTATTGTCTATTTTAATATTTAAAATAATTAATAGACACGGACATTGTGAACTTCCTGTGGTAAAGAAATTTTTTTTTTTTAATAAATGAAGAATAGTAATAATGTAATATAAAATTTTGAACAGTAACGACATCACCTATATCAATTTATTATATATACTTTTTTGTGGCACCAAATTGAATTTACACCTATGTAATTTATCTCTTCCTAGTCCCTATCCCTATTGTTTTTTTCGTATCTTCCAAATAAATGGTTGGCCAGAGAGGTACAAAGTACGAACTTGTCATCTCAGCTTCCTTCATGCCCTTTAAAACTCCTTTCCCATCACGTTAGTCATGTTTTCAATACATTTTTTTTAATATTTTTAAAATTTTAAAAAATAGTCATTTCACAAACAAGACAAGCCTGCATATTTATTTATAATGACAAGAAGAATTGAAAAGATTAAAAAAAATGTATATGAAAATTTATATTTAATTCAATAGCAATATTTCGGTACATGGACTAAAAATATAATTTTTTATAAATTTAAATATATTTTTAACTTTTATAATAATTATATTACTCAATTAAATTATATACTTATAATAATATAAGTAATTTAATTTAAATTATTAGTATCCTAAATTAAATAACATTACTCTTTATAAGCGTCATCCTAATTAAGTTGTTTTATATAAATTAAGAAAATTCAATAAATGTAATTTTTTTTATAAAATTAGTCTTATAATTAATTCTCAACAATCACTTTTTAATTAATTTTAATAGGGACAGATAAAAAAGTAATTAACACTATATTGATACTTATTTTGATATTTTTTTTAACACGACAATTATTATTTTTATCCATAAATATAATTTACACAATGATAAAAAATTAATAATTAAAAATTAATTTACATTTTTAAAACGTGACTTTACCGATGAGAAAAAAAAATACTTACTTATATATCATATAATCATATTGGTATAAAATCACTAATTATATTGGTGTAAAATCACTGGGGTTAACCTAGTGATTGAGATATAAAGACTTAAGATCAATCTTCATTACGATCAATTTTATAATCTTTTCTATTTTAAAAAAATATAATTATATCAGTATTGAACTAATTCAACTTAAAAGAAAAAAACTTATTTGTTGTTTATTTATCATAAGAAAGCATACAATAAAAAATTGATAGTAAAAATGAAAAAAAACAAAAACACTAAAAAATATCCGTGATTTAAATATAACAATTATCTCATAAAAACTGGAATGAGACATCTATATTTTAAGAAAATGGGCTTTTTAAAAATAATTAACAATATTTATGAAAAATATATTAAGTATAACCACCTATTTTAATTTCTAAATTTAAAAAATGTTACTGTTTTAATATGTGAAATTAATAAATTATCAAATAAATTCTTAAAAATTTAAATTACTAATTATATTAGTATAAAACTTAAAAAAAATATAGTATATAATTATATTTAAGGACATGTATTTGAGGAATTTAATTAATAGAGTCTTAATTCCAAATATTAATATAAAAAATATATTTAAAAATTAAGGATTAGTGTGAGTATTAGTTATTACTATTTAAAAAAATATTGTACTAAAATTTAATCTCCTCGTACTCTCGTGAGTTATGGCCACGTGATGGTTGTCAGAAGAAAAAAAGGGTAATCAAATCAAATTCAAAGTGTGTCAGATTCAGACTGTGAACGCAGCTGTCAAGCATGTTCACGGTATAAAACAGACTCCAAAATAATTAAAAAATAAAAAGACAATTTTACTTTTAATTATCTTATAATGGCAAATTGGTAATTTTTTAATTTTATTATTCATTTATTAATCATTAACATTACAATTTATTATTGAATAGATGATATAATAATTAATATTTAATAGTAGATAAATTACATAAAATATTAGTTTCACGTTCTTTGCATTATTTTTTCCCAATATTATAGTGTATTTGGTAGAATAAAAAATGTGAGAAATAATAGGAATACATGCAAATAGGGAAAATATAAAATATTTGAAAATAGAGTAAATTTATGAGTGTTTGATTTGAGTAAGGTAATTGTTTAGAAAACTAGCCGAAATTTGTAAACTTTATTTTTATTGGAAAATAAGTCATTTTTGTGAATGTGAAAAATTTGAAAATATGATTATTTGTCAATAATTTTTTTAAACCCACTCATATTTATTTAATA